ATTTATCTCTCAACTGGGGAGTGTTTGCTGCTGTTACTCTGCTGTAATCGAATCTATTATCTGTTAGTCAGTTAAAGGAGAGTCTGTTATCTGGGAGTCTATTAACCTAACCTAACTTAACTTAACTTAACCTAACCTAACAGACGTATACACCCTTGTCGACTTCAACTCTGTTATGGCGAGGGTGAGGGAGGAGGGAGGGGGGGGAGTTGGACCAATCACAGAGTCAGATCCACCCGGTAAATTAACCAATCAGGGTACGTCTTGGACTTTTATGTTGTCGATCCTTCTTCGTGTTTATGGGTGACGAGCTCAGCTGATCCATGTCAACACGATTTGCACATCTATGTTGACTCTCCATCCAAAACAAGAAAATAGCAAATAGTGAATCGCCGAGACTTGAAGATAAATGAAAAGAGAAACACGAAAACAAAGAGAGAATAGGAGGACAATGCGGGGCTTAATAACCAGCCAGCACTGCCTGTAGGGGAGAAGTTGAAGCTCTTGTGTTATTGTGGGGATGCAACATGTAGCAGTGGGGAGGAAAACATTACCCTGGGACTCTCTCTCGGGAGGTGAGGTAGAAGGCCCAGTAGCCGGACAAAGCCTTGGGAGAGTGTCTGGGTGTGCATGAGCGGACACATGGTAAATATGGCCGCCATTACAGGACCCGGCCAGAAATTAGACACGTTTATCAGAGCGCTGGACCCGCCGACCCCCTGTGGCTAGCTGTTGCCCCTGACCCTACCTGCTGCCCCCGACCCTACCTGCTGCCCCCGACCCTACCTGCTGCCCCCGACCCTACCTGCTGCCCCTGACCCTACCTGCTGCCCACATCCAAGTTATCGTACACCCACAACACCTGACCCAGCCCCCAGCAGGCGTCATCCCAGCACTCTCGAGGTCCATTTAGTGCATAGTAGCTCCTGAGGATGGGGGGTCCTAGCAGGTCACAGGTTCTTAGCAGGTCACAGGTCCTCGCAGGTCACTGGTCCTAGCAGGTCACAGGTTCTTAGCAGGTCATAGGTCCTCGCAGGTCACTGGTCCTAGCAGGTCACAGGTTCTTAGCAGGTCACAGGTCCAGCAGGTCTCAGGTCATTTTATCGTATGATCTGTAAGGTAGGAGTTATCACGGGGGACGGAGAGAAAGATGGGAGGGGGGAAGAGAGGGAGGGAAGGGAAGGAGAGATGGAGGGTAGGGAAGGAGAGAGGGAGGGGTGGAAGGTGAGACGGAGGTGAGGGAAGGAGAGAGAGGGATGGGGGAGGTAAGAGGGAGGGAGGAGAGGGATGGGGGAAGGTGAGAGAGAGAGGGGGCACTGACCTGTAGCTAAGCCCTTAGTATCGGCCAGGTCGCTTCCGGGATGGGTGGGGGTGAAGTAGGGGATGGGAGGGGAAGGGAAGGGAGGGTAGGGAATACCTGTAAAAGGGCGATGGTCCTCTCTCATTCCTCCTCTTCCTCTCTCTTCTTTTTATTAATTATTCTTTTGTTCCTCTTTCATTCCTCCTCCACAATCCTCATCTTCTCCTTCCTCCCTTCTCCCCAGTACTATCCCCTTCCCCTTCTTCCCCTTCCATATTCTCCTTCCTTCCTATCCTCCTTTCCTTCATGTCCTCTCTTCCTTCTCCTCTCCTCTTCTTCTCTCCCCATTGTCCTTTTCTCACTCCTCTTTCCCTTCTCCCTCCTAACCCTTTCTTCTTCTTCCTCCTACTCCCCTTACCCCCTCCCTTACCCCTCTTTCCTCACCTCCCACCCCTCTCACCCCTCCTCCTCACCCCCCCTCTCACCCCTCCTCCTCCCCCAGCTATTGTCACCGTAATATTAGCAGAGGGAAACTTGTCAGATATTGGAGGTTGTTATAACAAGGCCGGATTACACCCCAGCAACTAGCATCTCCTTCAATTTATTATTATTAGTAGTACAAAATGGCGGGGAAAAAGATGGCTATTTTCCCCGTTTCCTCTCGCCCTGAATTCTGTTTTTTTTTTCTTTTTAGGGTTTATTCTCTCTCTCTCTCTCTCTCTACCTCTCTCTCTCTCTCTCTCTCTCTCTCTCTCTCTCTCTCAACTCCTTTCCTAAGTGACTCTTCGGGATCTTTTTCTGTTTGTTTTTATTTTATTTTTTTGTATTTACAATTGTGGTGAGTTTTTTTGTTTTTGTTCGTTTATTTCTTCGTTTTTTTTTTATTTTTAGATATTTATTTTTTTATTCCTTGCTGTTTATTCTCATTTTAACTTAATTTTATTCGTGATTTTTATTTCTTGTTTTTTATTCATTATTTCTATATGATCTGTATTTTATTACTTGTTTATTTATTTATTTTTTATTACACGTCGACGTAATAAAACCGAACAAAGTGAACAACATTGATGGACCAAATATGACTACAGGGATTTATAACCGATGAAAAATTAATTAAACTTATTTTTTGGTGGGGGGGGAGGACGGAAGGGGGGGGTAGTGAGGACGGGGAGAGGGAGGGAGGGATAGAGAAGTAAGGACGAGAGGGAGGGAGGGATAGAAGTAAGGACAAGGGAGGAGAGGAGAGGCAGGAGAGACAAATAAGGATTCTCTAAGCGGTGGTAAATCCGACCTTAGGGATTCAGAACCCTTCCCTCTCCCTCTCCTCCCCTTCCCTCAACCTCTCTCTCTCTCCTTCCTTCCTCCTCCCCAATCAGCCTTCCTCCTCCTCCCCTCCTCCCCAGGTATGTCATGAACAATTACTGGTCAGGATATAAGGTGTTGTAATATTAGGTAATACTGACCACGCTGGGTGATAAAGCTCTCTCTCTCTCTCTCTCTCTCTCTCTCTCAAAAGATGTACTGTAGTTTTAACAGTTGTATGAATGTTAAGTCAACTATAATAGTGAATGTTTAGTGGTGAATGTAATGTATGTCCACACGCACACACTCACACACACTCACACACACGCACACACACACACACACACACACTTAAAAGGATAATCTGGTCCAGAAGTTGACTTAAGGGCTTATTGATGTTTAAGGAAAGGGTAACGAAGGGGAGAGAAAGGGGAATGGGAATAAAGGGAATAAAGGAAAGAAGGGGAAAACGACATAGTGAGGTAGCTATTATGGAGAGAAAGGGGAAAGAATGGGTAGGAGGAGGAAAAGGGAAAGGAAAGGGGAATAGATAAGGGGAAGATAAGAAAGGAGAAGTAAGAAAGGGATAAAAGAAGAGAAGAGAGGGAGAAGGTGAGAAGATAAAACAAAAAGGTAGGAAAATGAGGAAGAAATACGAGTGTCCATTATTCTATCTTCATAACTTTATATTAAAACAAAAGAAGCAATTTTCTCTAGTTAGTTTTTAATTGACGGAAAAACAACCATCATAAACCGGAAGAATGAAATAAACTGGAATAAATTACTTCATAAACCGTAATAATAAAATAAACTTATAAATTACCGCGTATGTTGAGGGCTCGTGTGCAGGGGCGGGGGGGGGTCACTGGATTCTCTATATGCGGTTTACAGGTATTTTTCAGCGTGTCGGTCCCGGATAACGAAGGTCTTCACGCTTACTTGGGTAGAACATAAGACTAACAACCTCCAGATGTTCACTTTAACACACTCACCTTCTCTCCAAGTGTTGAGCATGTGAACTAATTTAATATATCCATCATTTTTGTGTGTGGAGGTCGAGGATGAAGTTCTGGTAACACTTGAGACTTCCTGTCGAGGACTACCGTCTCTCCTGTCACCCTCCCCGTCTTTTTACCTCTTCCGTCACTCTCCTTTTACGTGACCCTCTTCTCTCCCATTCTTCTCTCTTCCTCTACCATCTCTCACTTTCGCTAATGCTCCCTTCCCTTTTCTCCCTTTCACCACTACACCTCTCCCTTTTCTCTCCCTTCTCCTCTCCTTCTCACTTCTCTCCTCCTAACATCACCTTCTTACATCATCTCCTCTTTCTCCTTCTCCTCCACCTCTTCTTCATCTTAACAGCCATTAACCATCTTCTAGGTAATTAACCTTGTCTAGACCAATCACAGGTTACTGCACCATACTGTTTTACTGCTGCTGTGGAACCTTTTAACCCGAGTGAACCTTTTTGATTGTAGTGGAAAGTTTTAAACGGAATGGAACTTTTGGAACGGAGTGGAACTTTTGGAACGGAATGGAACTTTTGGAACGGAGTGGAACTTTTGGAACGGAGTGGAAGTTTTTAAACGGAATAGAACTTTTGAAACGGAGTGGAAGTTTTGGAATGGAATGTAACTTTGTGAACAGGTGATCTTTTTTGAACTGGTTGAACTCTTTGTATAGATGGAACTTTGTTTTGAATAGATAAGCAGAGCAGCGCAGCCTCACCCACAGAGAGAGAGAGAGAGAGAGAGAGAGAGAGTCATCACATTAGTCTCCCCATTGTCCTGTTCCCTCCCTCCCTCCTTCCCTCCCTCCCTCCTCTACCTTACCCTCCGTCCCAATCTCTGTCCGTCCGTCCACTACAACTCACCCACCACCATTTCCGCCTTCCTTCCCTTCTGTCCCTTTGCTACCTTCTTCCTCCCGTCTCTCTCTCTCTTCCTCCTTTTCCAATTCTCCCTTATCCTCTTCTCACCTCTTTATCTTTCTCCCCTCCCCTTCTCCCCACTCCCCCTCTCCCCTCTAGTCTCCCCAGCAGGTGGGGGTGTAAGCGTTGTCCAGTTGGCCATCATCCCGGGGAGTCATTTATCGCTTTCCAATAACACGGTGACAGCCAGCCCTCCCTCACCACCAGTATTACGCCCACGCCTCCCTCACCACCAGTATTACGCCCACGCCCTCCCTCTCCACCAGTATTACGCCCACGCCCTCCCTCACCACCAGTATTACGCTCACGCCTTCCTCTACACCCACGCCTTCCACACCCCACGCGTGTCTACGGGGTGAGGGGCGTGTCTACGGGGTGAGGTGCGTGTCTACTTGGTGAGGGTCGTGTCTACTTGGTGAGGGTCGTGTCTACGGGGTGAGGGTCGTGTCTACGGGGTGAGGGTCGTGTCTACGGGGTGAGGGGCGTGCCTACAGGATGAGGGGCGTGTCTACAAGATGAGAGGCGTGTCTGCAGGGTGATGGGCCGGGCCAACAACTGGTAGGACCTGGTGGTGACATCCTGACGAAGTTGAGGTCTCTGAGGGTCCTTGGCTGAGGGCTCTAGATTAAGGGCTGGTGGATAAGGGATAAGCTCTCCAAATTGCCCTTACAACCTCCCCCAGTCCCTGAATAATCTGTTTACCTTCTCGTGATATTACCTGTAAACTAAACAAATGAACAAAACACAAACAACAACAAAATAAACAAAACACGCAATAAAAACAAACAACAAACAACAATAAACAAACAACAAACAAAACCAAGAAATGTGTTAATATTGGTGATAGACTTAAGGTGTATCGTGTCACCTTAGAGAACTGTCAACTAATGACTGTTGCCCCAGTGATGAGTACTGGTGTTGTTTATGTCATCTTCACTTCTTTTTTTTCCTCTCTCTCTCTCTCTCTCTCTCTCTCTCTCTCTCTCTCTCTCTCTCTCTCCTTTTCTCTTTGTCTCATCTCTCTCTATCTTACTATTTCTTTCTTTCTTTCTTTCTTACTTACAGAATTAGTTACTGTTTACCTACTTAGGGTTGAGAGGGTAAGGGGGAAGGGTAAAATAAAAGGGGAAAGGAGGGGAGAGGGGAGGGAGGGGAGAAGGGTGAGAGGAGTATAGTAGAGGTGGAGACTTGAGGAAGAGGGGAGAAATGGGAAGAGAGGGGAGGAAGTGCAGGATCTTCCCATCCATTTCTTTCCCCATTTCCGAGAGAAATCAACCTTAAGAATCAATCTCTCTCTCTCTCTCTCTCTCTCTCTCTCTCTCTCTCTCTCTCTCTCTCTCTCTCCCGGTATGGTGTTATGGATTCTCCCGGTTCAGCAGCAGCGTCACCTACCGGGCGTTGATTGATTAAGGCTTTCACACCTGTGGCATAGAATTAATTAACCCCTTCAGCCAGGTGACATACGCTATACGTCAGGTGTTCACGTGGGCCTCATCTCCCGAGGTGGTGGTGGTGGTAGGAGACCTTGTGAGAGTGGTAGAAGTAAGTCGTTGTGGAGATGGTGGTAGCTAGTGATGGTGGTAGCTAGTGATGGTGGTTGGTGAGGATGGTGGTAGCTAGTGATGGTGGTAGCTAGTGATGGTGGTAGGTGGTGATGGTGGTAGGTGGTGATGGTGTGGGTTGGTGGTAGGTGAGGATGGTGTAGCTAGTGATGGTGGTAGGTGGTGATGGTGGTGGTGAGGTTGGTGGTAGGTGAGGATGGTGGTAGCTAGTGATGGTGGTAGGTGGTGATGGTGGTGGTGGTGATGGTGGTAGGTGAGGATGGTGGTAGCTGGTGATAATCCCATGTGGTGTTAGTGTGTGTGGACAGACATACACCCCTCCCTTCTCTCCCCTGCCTCCTCCTCATCCCTCCCCTGTCGCCCCCCTCCCTGCCGCCCCCCCACCTCCTGCCGCCCCCCCCTCCTCTCGTGTTGTGGGGGGAGGGGGGGCTGGAGGGAGAGATTCTTCCCCTCCTCCCGGAACCATATAAGAACAAGTGACTATTTCCACCATTATCCTCGTCGTCTGGAAGCTGGGAGGTCTCTCTCTCTCTCTCTCTCTCTCTCTCTCTCTCTCTCTCTCTCTCTCTCTCTTTTGTCCTTTTTACTTTATTTCTTCCATGTTCTTTTGTTTTATTTCTTTACTCTTTCTCCGTTTCTTTTTTCTCTTTCCCTTGTCTCTCCTCTCTCTCCTTCTCCACTTCACTCTTTTAACTTTTTCTTTCTTTCTTCCGTCCTCTTCTTTTTCCTCTCTCCCTCACCTTCCTTCTTCTCATCTCTCCTCCATTCCCCCTCCTCTCCTCCCCCCCTCCCCCTCCCTCCCCCACACAACCACCAACAAACATGGTCACGTGTTGAGAGGTTTACAGTGCTGCCGCCAGAGGTACAATAATACTGATATTTACAACACTGGCCTGAATAATAATGAGGAACCACCACCCATCACCACCCACCCACCCACCCACCCACCCACCACCCTACACCCACCATAAGGGTTTTAATAGGTAAGGTTTTGTTGTGTATGGCCACTTACAGTAGGTACTTGATCAAGGTCACACACACACACACACACACACACACACACACACACACACAGATAAGGAGAGAATGCAATGAAAGCGAGAGAGAGAGAGAGAGAGAGAGAGAGAGAGAGAAGAGAGAGAGATCAACACACACAACCTCCCAGGACAAAAATTTGGGCCCGAGACTGAGCTGGGATTTGTGAAGAGGGGAGGGAGGACAAGAGGAAGAAAGAAGAAGAAGGAAACAGGACACGAGTAAGGCGGAAAGAAGGACAAAGAGGAAGATTGGGGCAAGAGGGAGGGAAGAGGGTAAGAGGAGGAAGATTGGGGCCAGAGAAAGGGAAGAGGATGACAAGGGAAAGATGAAGGTGTGTATAAGAGAACTAGAAAGAGGGAGAGAACATAGGAGAGGTGGAGGAGGATGAAAAGAGAGATTAACGTAAGGTTATCTAAGCGTATGGACTCAGAGCAGTTGACGTTTATTGTTTTAGTAACTTTTTCGCAGCTTGTGATTGGCAGATGGTGATTTTTGACGCGATGTAATTGTGTTGGTTTATAACGGTGAATTGGCTGATGTATTTTGGCGCATTGTAATTGGCTAGTGGTTTAGAATGGTGCGTTTCGGCGCCATTTTGATTGGTTATTAAGACGTATGTGTTTTTTATGTTGTGATATTGTGTAAGGATATTTTTTCTGACTTTGATTGGTTAATATCTATCTGTCTGTCTGTCTGTCTGTCTGTCGTAAGAGGAAAAACATAGTGAGAAATTAGGTTAGGTTAGGTTGGCATGTGAGGTGGTGTGTGAGGAAGACGTGTGAGGAAGGCGTGTGGGGGAGGGAGGCGTGAGGGAGGGCGTAGAGGGGACATGTGAGGAAGGGAGGCGTGTGGGAAAGAGGCGTGTTAGGAAGACGTGTGGGGGAGGGAGGCGTGTGGGGTGGGGAGGAGGCGTGTGAGGGACCAGGCGTGTGAGGGACCAGGCGTGTGGAGGGACGAAGGCGTGTGAGGGACCGAGGCGTGTGGGGTAGGGAGGCGTGTGAATGGGTAGACAGTGTTTGATAGGTAAACAGGTGGCTGTGTGTTGGGTTCTCTATATGGTGAAGGAACCTGCGTCTCTCTCTCTCTCTCCCTTTTTTTCTCTCTCCTGCCTTGAGTATTATTATTTCAGGTTAAATAGCTAAGATAACGGCTCCTTAATGTGATAACAGGTAAGATGGTTAAGATAACATAGCGAGTAACAGTATCTCAAGTGGACGGTGAGGGGCTCCTTGTTGACTAGAGAGAGGAGGGAGGAGAGAAGAGGCGTATAAATGAGTGAGTGGTGAGGAGGAGGAGGAGAGATGAGTGTATGAATGAGTGACGGTGTGTGTGGAGTGAGGCCAGGCACTCATGTAAGGGGTTATTATATATTAGTGTGAGTGGCATGTGAATGGTAACTCCTGACTGTGAGAATTGATAGTATGGTGCTTGTGTGGTGACTGATGGTGAGGAGAGTCAGCTGAGTGACGGATGGTGAGGAGAGACCAGCTGAGTGACAGATAGTGAGGGAGGAGTACGAATCACCCATCCACACAGTACCCACCCCACCCACCCACCCCATCCATAAACACAAAGGCTGCCACCAAGCGTCCTCATCACACCACCACGATCTGCCCAATTAGTTTCCGTCTCCATCACCTCCCTTTTCCGTCCTCCTCCTCCTCCTCTTCTATCCTCCATTTGTCTCCTTTATCCTATCCTTCCTTCCTCCCTTCTTTCTATACTCATTCCTCTCCTCTCCTCTCTCCTTCAGGGGTTCTACTGGGGTCACATCGGGGTTCTACTGGGGTCACATCGGGGGGTTCTACTGGGGTCACATCTGGGGGTACTTGGGGGTTCTATGGGGTCACATCAGGGGAGTTCTACTGGGGTCACATCAGGGGGGTTCTACTGGGGTCACATCTGGGGGTTCTGGGGTTTAGAGTGAAATGGCCCCCGTTTTATGGGGGTGGTGCCGGGGGTCGCTCTCTGGGGACTCAAGTGGCGTCAAAATATTTTTGGGGGTTGACAGTCCTCCTCCTTCCTCTTCCTCTCCTTTCTCTTCCTCTTCCTTTCCTCTTCCTCCTCATATTAAGAGGATGGGGCAGTTGGAGTGTGAGAGGACGCTGAGAAAGCTTGTGAACAGGGATCATCTTTTCCTCTTCGTCTTGTCTTCCTTCTCTTCCTCCTCCTCCTCTTCTTACTTTCTTTTCCTCTTTCTCTTCCTCCTTATCTTCCTCTTGTCCCCTTCTCTTTCCCTAAACCTCTTCCTCCTTGTACTTCCTCCTCCTTCCAACCCTTACCTCCCCGTCTCCTCCTCCCCCCCCTCCTCAACCTCCAACCCATCCAGGAGAAAAATTTCCTTTCGAATCAAAATATCATCTTAAATCATACCTGTCTCCTTTCTTCACTCTAAACGATATCCCACTTTGGAGGAGTAACGACGTCACCCATTCCGACTGGGGCGAATCCTGGCGCTGGTCTATAAGGAAAGTGGATTCATTCAGGATATTTTCGTTAGTTTCTATTGATCAGAGATCCCAATATCTCTCTCCCAGTTCAACTTCTAATGGTCTCTTATAGTGTTCGTCGTGTCATCTCCTCTCCGTTTCAGGGGCGATGGCTGCTGCTACTGTTTCTGCTCTACGTCAGTGTTTCTGCTCCTTACGTTAGTGTTTCTGCTCCTTACTGCTGTTGCTCTTGGCCTGCTCTCTGCTGCTGTTCCTTCACCTAGACTAAGTTTATGTTTATCCTCTGGAGAGTTATAGATGCCTCTAGGGTTTATACAGACTCTGGCCTGTGTTGTTGTTGTTGTTGTTTTTTGATGTTATTGTTGTTCCTCCTCTTCTCCTCCATGTTCCTCCCCTCATCACACTTTCTCATCTCCTTCCTTCGGTCCTCCTTTTCCTTCATCTTTTCCTCTTTTGCTTTTGACCAATGCCTCTCTTCCTCCTGATCACCGACTGGCCACGCCTGACCACCATCTATCCCCTACCACCACTCCCCCTGACCACCACCTACCCCCCCTGACCACCTACCCCTAACCACCTACCCCCCACCCCACTCCCCCCTGACCACCACCTACCCTCCCCCAACCATCCCACTCCTCTCTGACCACACTCACCTCCCCTAACCATCCCACCCTCCAACCATCCTACCCTCTCCTGACCACCACCCACCTCCCCTAACTATCCCACTCCTCAATCATCCTACCCTCTCCCGATCATCACACCTACCCTTCCCTAACCATCCTACCCTCCTGACCGACTGACTCACCTCTCCCATCATCCTGGCCTCCCAATCTATCCTACTCTCCTGACCACCACTCACCTCCCCTAACCATCCCTACTCTCTCCTGACCACCACCTGGCCCACTTGTCCCCTGTGTGTGTGAGCTGGACCACTAACTAGCCACAACTGACTGCAGGGTAAGATCACGTCGATACCAGATGGCTTCCTTGCTGATGGCCCTCTTACGGGGGAGGAGGAGATGGTGGCAGGAGAGGGACGTCTGAGAAGAAAAGGTGGAAGAGGAAGAGGGGATGACGTCTAGGAAGAGGAGGAAGTAGAATAAGAAGAAGAGAGCCACTGATGATGGTGTTGGAGGAGGAGGAGGAAGACTTAGGAGAAGAGAGAAACACGGGGCCAGGGAGCCTCTAATGAGCAGGATTGTAGGTGATAGTGAGTGGCTACTGTGAGGCGGGTGGCTCCAAGGTCTGACCCTGATGGGGTTCTTATCTGGTTCACTCACATCCTCTTCCTTCCCTCCTTCCTTCTTTCCTTCATTATCTCCGTCATTTTTCTTTTTTTTCTCTTCATTATTTTGTCCTTTCCTCCTTCCTTCCTTCCTTCCTTCCTTCCTTCCTTCCTTCCTCCTATAAATCCCTTTCCTCTCCTCTTCCATTCTATACCTCCCCATCCTTATCTTACTCCCTCCCATCTTCTCCCTGAACCATCAATCACTCCACCCCACTCCCTCGCCTCCCCACATATACATACCTCGGTAATGAACAGTGTATGGCGTCATTTCTTTCATGACCTTGTGACCCGCTTGGTGACCTGCTGTAACCTGCCTTGTGACCCGCCGCTCAGTATAGTGCCGGCTTACGTAACAGGGTGCGTCACTGGGAATCAAAACTTGCTTATGTGACGTAGTGTGACTGGTCCTCGTTCAATACCGTAGTGCTGCTTTAGGTTAGGTTATAGGTTAGGTTAGATTAGATTAGATTAGGTTAGGTTAGGTTAGGTTAGGTTGTTAGGTTAGAGTTAGGTTAGAGTTTTGTGTTTAATACTTTGAAGGGGATTAGTGGTGGTGAGCAATAACCAATCAGCGCTCTTCATGGCCACATACCGGGTGGATTCTGCTTGTTCGCGTCCCAGTTCACCCTAGCAGCGGGGTCACCCAGGCGGCCATTCTGGGACCATGTTTGTTTATGATTTATGTCATGATGGTGGAGATACTACTCTCAATAATGTCAAGAGACGATGTTAAATGACCAGGTAGTGGTTGTCCATCTTCTGATAGTGTGTGATTTATGTGTAATTGGTGTGAATGGTGATTATTTGTGGTTGTTATTGACCGTGACTGGTGTTGGTAACTGGGCGGGGTGGTGTGGCAGTGAGTGGTTGCTGTGCATGGTAATGACTGGTAGAAATGTGTTCTTGGTGGTCGTGTGAGTGTTAAGTCATTGTTTGGAGATAACAGGGCCAACGGTATGGCTGATGACGAATGGTAGTGGAGGAGGGAGGGATGTAGTGGAGGAGAGGGTGGGTGGTAGTGAGGAGGGAGTGGTGGTAGTGGAGGAGGGGTGGGTGGTAATGGGAGGAGGGGAGGGTGGTAGGGAGAGGGGAGGGATGGTAGTGGAGAGGGGTGGATGGTAGGTGGAGGAGGGAGTGGATGGTAGTGGAGGAGGGAGGGATGGTAGTGGAGGAGGGAGTGATGGTAGTGGAGAGGGGAGGGATGGTAGTGAAGGAAGGAGTGGATGGTAGTGGAGGAGGGAGGGATGGTGGAGGAGGGAGGGATGGCAGTGAAGGAGGGAGTGGATGGTAGTGGAGAGAGGGGAGGGATGGAGTAGATGGTGGCTGAGTGTGAGTGTGGGGTAGATCACACCGGGGTAGGATCAATGGGGAAGGGGGGGACTGTTGGGGAGGGAGGCGGGGGGGAAGGGAGGGGGAGGACATGGGGAAGAGTAAAGCTTAGAGGAGAGATGGAGACTGGATGGGTGGGAGGAAAGGCCTGAGGAGAAATGGGGAATGGAGATTGGAAAGAGAAAAAATGAGGACTGTGGGGAGTTGTGATTGGGTGAGAGAAGAGATGGGAAGAAATAGGCAGGGCTGAAGGGGAGGAGGAGGATGGGGAGATTATGGGCATGAGGGGAGAGTAAAGAGGAGGTGGTGGATGCTGACGAGGAGAAGGACCTAGTGGAGGAGGGGTGGAGGACGACCTGGTGGAGGACCTGGTGTAGGGTGCAGGAGGAGGACCTGGTGTAGGGGTGCAGGAGGGGGAGGACGACCTGGTGGAGGACCTGGTGGGGTGCAGGAGGAGGAGGAGGACCTGGTGGAGGACCTGGTGTAGGTGCAGGAGGAGGAGGAGGAGGACCTGGTGGAGGACCTGGTGTAGGGTGCAGGAGGAGGACCTGGTGAGGACCTGGTGTAGGGGTGCAGGAGGAGGACCTGGTGTAGGGTGCAGGGAGGAGGAGGAGGACCTGGGAGGACCTGGTGTAGGGGTAAGGAGGAGGAGGACCTGGGTGGAGGACCTGGTGAAGGTGCAGGAGGGGGAGGACGACCTGGTGGGAAGACCTGGGTGTAGGGTGCAGGAGGGGAGGAGGACCTGGTGTAGGGGTGCAGGAGGGTGGCGTCCTGAGCGGGTGTCACCAAGTGGTAAACAAGGATGAGGTGGGTGACCTGCTGGGTGACCACTGACTATCCCTCCCCCTCCGTGTCGAGACATCCAATAACAATAACAACAATAATGAATAATATTTAAGAGGAAGATGAGAAGGACGAGGGAGATGAGTCCTGAAAGAGAGAAACCGGAGGAAGAGGAAGAGGAGGCAGAGGAAGGGGTAGTGATCACAGTCGCCATAGGTACATGTGCTATAGGCTCCCTGACACAGCTATAGACAACAGGATCAAAACTCTCAAATAATTTATTCAAGTGACGTTAGCCATTACCAAGTGACGTCAGCCATTACCAAGTGACGTCAGCCATTACCAAGTGACGTCTGCCATTATCAAGTGACGTGTTTATTTTAAGAGTGACGGTACGTGATGGATGAGTGGTTATTGTGCTCTAGTCTGGTTTATGGTGCAGTGGGTCGGTGATGCTGTCAGATAGTGAAGAAAGATGTTGTGTGTTATCTGGAGCGGGTGGGGCCGACGAAGGTTTTACCCGGCGGTCAGGTAGAATAAGATTATATTGTGTGTACAAGTTCTTACCAGTCAACGAGATGCTGGCTTATCGTCCCCTGCTATCTGTCCCCCTCCATCCCCTCCACAACCTCCTTCCCTTCCTCCACAACCTGCCTGACTCTCCCTCCACAACCTCCTTCCCTCCCTCCACAACCTGCCTGACTCCCTCCCTCCACAACCTGTTTCCTTCCTTCCTCCACAAACTGTCTCCCTTCCTCCTTCCCTCCCTTCACAACCTCCCTCCCTCCACAACCTCCTTCCCTCCCTCCCTCCACACCACCTGCTTGCATCTCACCGACAGCAGATAATATATTTACTTACCGTCGAGTCTCAGGTGTAGTTGGACGCCATATTAAGCCGCCATCTTGGTATTATAAACGTAGCCAACCTTCATTGTCTTCGTCTGTGCTCTCATGTCTTCAGTCACCGGAGAGAGACTTACCTGAGAGAACCATTATGATCCAGGTGTTGTCTCATCAGTGTCAGGTAACGTGGGAGGGAGAGAGGAGAGGGAGGAGGAAAACTGACTTGTGTGTCGAGTTTTCATGAGTTAATGTCGTGTGTCAGCTGGTAGTCTCTGGGTCCTGGTCGCTGCTTGTGTCTGTTGCCACGACCTCAAAGGCATTCAGAATCTCACACAATCCTCCCACAGTTGGAGTTGAGGAGAGAGAGACATATGGTGGGAGGAGCGTGGGGAAGAAGCAGCAGTTGGGGGTCGGTAGGGGACACATCTTCCCCACGAGAGTGACAGCCTCCCTGCGACAGTGACAGCTGGGGTGATTATCGGCTACCAAACAGCAAGAGTAAACAAAGGAGAGAACTTTAAATATTTACCTGGGGGTGAGGACCCCCGTGTGTGTGTGTGTAATAATAATAATAATAATAATAATTAACGGTTTATTGAATAAGTTCTGCAGCCCGAAGGCTGAAAATATACGTTGGACATAAATGACTTATTACATACATTGGTGGTTTAACGCCTTCATTAGAGAAAGGATGAACATACAGTGAACATATAGATTAATGTAGGTGTTGAACAGCAAACACGTAGTGTAGTAACTCTCCCAGATGGTGTTATGCGGGCTCACGTGGTGTAGTAATTCCCTCACAGATGGTGTTATGAGGGCCTCACGTGGTGTAGTAATTCTCACAGATGGTGTTATGAGGGCCTCACGGTAGTAATTCCCTCACAGATGGTGTTATGAGGGCCTCACGTGGTGTAGTAATTCCTCACAGATGGTGTTATGAGGGGCCTCACGTGGTGTAGTAATTCTCACAGATGGTGTTATGAGCCTCACGTGGTGTAGTAATTCCCTCACAGATGGTGTTATGAGGGGCCTCTCATGGTGTAGTAATTCTCTCACAGATGGTGGATGAGGGGCCTCACGTGGTGTAGTAATTCCCCACAGATGGTGTTATGAGGGGCTCACGTGGTGTAGTAGTTCCATCACAGACGGTGTTCTATGAGTGAGGTGTGGTCCCAGGCCTTCCTATCGTAGAACGGATTAACACATCGCTGGTTGATGGGTCGGGCCGTTATCACTGGGTACCTGGGACCTCACTGTGAAGGTCAACTTGGGTACCACTGTTACTGTTGAGTTGTTCTCACTGACTTAAGCACTGTTCACCACTGTTCACCCCTGTGTGTGTGTCACAATTCAATAAAATAAAAATAAAAATACAACAGTTTATTGAAACATAAAATGCCGATAGACATACATTAAACTTACACACACACACACAGTTACTAGACCCAGAACGTGTAATAAACTTGAATTGACACTAAATAAATCAACTCTGTACCTTGACTAATTAGATTATTTTTCTTTTCCTTACAGGTATGTTGTGGTCGACCTCCCACCCCTCTACCAGGTGTTGCAGGCAGTAATGGTATTGTCAACCTTACCTATCTGAACTCACCTGCTCTTAATTAACCTGTAGTACTTGTGTTTTATCAATTACATCTTTTTATTTTGGTATAATTAATGATTTAAGGTATTTGAATTGTTTTATTTGTATTGGTTTTCATGTAAGTAAGTGTGTGTGTGTGTGTGTGTGTGTGTGTGTGTGTGTGTGTGTGTGTGTGTGTGTGTGTGTGTGTGTGTGTGTGTGTGTGTGCCTGTGTGTGCGTGTGTGTGTGTGTGGTTTAATTAGTCAAGTTTACCGTATGTAGGTGTGTACACAGTGAACTCGGTGGAATTGTAGACTGCTTTGTTAGATCAGTGTAAAATATTGTATAATGTAGGAGTCTGTTTTATACCATTATGGCATTATTTGATAAGAATGGTGATGGTGATATGAACGATGTGAATTGTTTCTTTAATCTCTCTCTCTCTTCTCTCTCTCCCTACCTATTCCCTTTCTCTCCAAATGTTTTTCTCCCCTTTCCTCATCCTTCTCCCTCATCCTCCTAACCTATTCACTTCACATCCTCGCTCCCTACCTTCACCTCTATCCTTCTCAACCTCCCACTCCATCTTCACCCCTTCCTCCATCCTCCTCCCTCCCTATCCCTTCCCTCCCCAATCGAGGTTCAAGCACCTCCCCAATAAACACCAGGAAGAAACCATCATGAACTGGACGTATCTTCCTAACAACCAGTGACCCAGAGCTTTTTGAAACACGGGAAAGGTCGATGGTGGAGATAGTGTCCGGGGGGTGAGGGAGGTAAGGGATGGGTGAGGGAGGGTGAGGATGAGGATGGGTGAGGGAGGTGAGGAGGGGTGAGGATGAGGGAGGTAGGGATGGGTGAGGAGGGTGAGGATGAGGGAGGTAAGGGATGGGTGAGGAGGGTAAGGATGGGTGAGGGAGGATGAGGATGAGGGAGGGTGAGGGATGGGTGAGGGAGGGTAAGGGATGGGTGAGGGAGGATGAGGGAGGGCAAGGGATGGGTACAGGGTAGGTCATCACATACCCACTCATCAGGTTCATCCTTAGTTCGCATCCCCTTTATATGACGTCACGCCCAATCACCATCTCGCCTTACTGTGACGTCATACCCTCGTGTTATGGCCGTCTTCCGGTCTTTTCTTCCTCTAATGTTTATTAATCTCGTGAGTTTTATTGTGCCCCGCGTATAGTGTTCACGTCATTGTATTCAAGGTTAGGTTAAGTCATCATACACAAGGGATTAAATCATTGTACATCGAATACGAAGCTCGGGCTGTCTTGTGGCGGCGGTGGCAGTGGCGGCTTTTGGAGGCGGAGGTGGCGTAGGCGGCTTTTGGAGGCGGCGGTGGCGGAGGCAGCTTTTGGCGGCATGATGTCCGTGTCTGTGTCTTATCAGTGTCCATCATGTTTACTATCCTCACCAGGTCCTGCCGGGGAGGAGGAGGAAGGAGGAGGGGAGGGGGAGGGGGAGGGGAGAGGAGGAGGAGGGGAGGGAGAGGAGGGGAAGGTAGGAGGGGAGGGGCGACGCTCGGGCTTACATGCACATCCCGATGATTCCCTTGACACGAGACATACTGAGGCGAGATAGTCGATAGTCAGCAGGAATTATTTAAAGGAGGGAAGGAGGGAGAGGGTGAAGGAGAGAGAGAGGAAGGGAATGAAGGAGGGAGGGAGGGAGGGAATAAAGGAGGGAGAATGGTGTGGTAAAGGAAGTGACAGAGGTAGGGAATAAGAGAAGGTGAGAGAGGAAAGGAGAAGAGGGAGAATGAGTGGTGAAGTGAGGGAGGAGGAGGGAGGGGATTTAGGACACTGGAGGAGGGATGTTCACTATCGTACTCTCCTAAAAAACCCGGATGATAATAAATAATCCTCCCTAAATATAGATGCGTTAAAAGTATTAATAAAGGGGTAACTCTTGAAGAAAATACTGAAGGGGTTAACTGACATATATTGAAGGGAGTAACGCGCATGTTAAGAGGCTGTGTTTTGCCAACTAGCTCCCCCTCCTCCCCCCTCCCCCTCCTCTCCCCATCCCCTCCTCCCCCTCCTCTCCCCCCTCCTCTCCCCCCTCCCCCCATCTGATTACTCCAGGATGACATTTTCGATTTAAATAAAAACTTACGAGGTCGTAAATATTCGTAAATGGGGACGTGCGAGATGCAGATCTTCGCCCTCAATATTTTGCCGGACATAATAAACACGAGATTACACAGGCGGTATACTCAACCCCGCTAACCAGAACACTCAACCCCGCTAGCCAGAACACGCCTCTCACACCTCCGAGACCTGGTCCGGGTGACGAGAAGAACACCGCTTTCTTATGATAGAACTTACAGAAGAATGTTACCCGCTTGTCTTAAAGGGGAAAAAAAGATGATCCATGTTAAAGAAGTTGTTTTACAAGTCTCTCACACGGTAGGGAGGTCTTAAATCATCTTTTGGAGGAGGAGGAGGAGGAGGAGGGGGGGGGGGGGGATGAAGGGTGTGTTAGTGGAAATGTTTTTTGGGGTAAAGGTTTACAGTATAATGTAGAGATGTTTGTGTCGTCATCCTGAGAGCTGTGCTGGGACACCTCTTGTAGGGGGGACTGGCGTGCTGATCTTGCTCCTTCCTCTTCCTTCCCCTCTTCCTCTGCCTTCTCTTTCTCCTCCTCTCATGCTGTTGCTGTTCCATCATCACTCCATCTCCACCTCTCACTCCCTGTCTCCCCCTTCCACTCCATCTCTCCTTCCCTCTCACTCCCTCTTATTTTCCCTTTCCCACTCCCACACACTCTCACACCATCCCTCTCACACTTCCACCCTCCCTCCTATTTCTTCCTCACACTCACACCTCCCTCTCACACTCCTACACCCTCCCTCTCACACTCCCACTCCCTCCCACTCCCGCACATGCCGGTACTGGCTGCTGCCCCTCTCACACACACACAGGTTTAATTACTGGTGAAATGAAGAAGACCTGCGTATGTGAGTGGCCTTCACGTGATGGATGTACGGTCTCTCTCTCCCTCCTCCCTCCTCCCTCCCTCCCTCCCTCCCTCCCTCCCTCCCTCCCTCCTCCCTCCCCCTCCTCTCCCTCCTCTCCCTCCCTCTCTCTCCTCAATCCAACTTCACTTGCACTGTTTGGATCCAAGTTTCGCCAACTTTGAACTTCTTCATTTCCGCTGGAGATAGTGAGCACCCTCCCTCCCTCCCTCCCTCCCTCCCTCCTCCTCCTCCCTCTCTCCTCCTCTCCCTCCTCTCTCTAACTCCCACCCACCGATCAGGAGCAAGTGGACGGAAGGTAATGTAGAAGAGAAAGGAAAAGACTGTGTGTGTGTGTGTGTGTGTGTGTGTGCGTGTGTGTGTGTGTGTGTGTGTGTGTGTGTGTGTGTGTGTGTGTGTGTGTGTTTGTGTGTGTGTGTGTGTGTGTGTGATAATAATAATAATAATAATAATAATAATAACAACAATTAACAGTTTATTGAAAGAGCATGGCAGCCAGAAGGTTGAAAATATACAGTTACATAATTGGGGAATGGGTCTCTTGATTTACAAATAATATACAATTAACATAAGTGATACAAATATGATATATAATAACTAGGTGGGGAGAAGGTCATACGACAGGGCATTTCAACATAGTGACAGTGCAAAAGGTAAGATTGGCTTGGAGTGAATACACTGGTTGATTACGAGTTGTTGATAATTTTTACAATGGTTGGGACTGGGCTGTTCTTATAGCGATCAGTTCGTGCTCGTATGGGCTGGATGCGGTTGTGGTGTCGAACAGCAATTCTCGGGCGAGGGATCTTGGGTGGTAGTAGGAGCCGGTGTCGAGGATGGTGCAGAAGCTTCTCACCAAATTTGCAGATGAGGTCGTGGTGATAGTCAGTGAGAGTCGAAAGGGTCAGTGTGTTGAGCGCTTCTTGATATGTGGAGTAGGAAGGGGAGAGAATAATCTTGCATGCCCTCTTTTGCACTTTTTCTTGGTGTTTACGTTGTTTGGCATTTAGGGAGGAAGACCAGGTAGGGGAGGCAAAGGTGAGCTTGGGAAGTATGAATGGTGAGGTAAACACTGAGGAGCTCGGGTGCAGGAACTCCGAGGGACTTGAGTGTGTGTCCACCTAACAAAAATTCTTACATATTATTGTTTTTTTCCTATTTTCCCAGAGCATATCCCCCCCTCCCCCCTCTCCCCCCTCTCCCCCAGGGCTTACGTGGGGAGTGAAGGAGAGAAAGAATGGGGAAGGAGTTAGGAAGGAGAGAGCGTCAGTGAGTGAGTGGAAGAAGGAAGGGGAGGTAGCAGAGGAGGAGGAAGAAGAACAATGAGTTAGAGAAGGAGTGAAGGAGGAAGGGAAGGAGAGGAGAGAGCAGCTAGGGAGAGGTATGCAAATGTTACTCCCTTCCTTGAACTCCTATTTTCTATTATGAGAGAAATATCAACAACGAGGAAAAGTTACAAGATGACTAACCAACACCAAGGACTCTCTCTCTCTCTCTCTCTCTCTCTCTCTCTCTCTCTCACCTACTGGAGGAATAACAGACCTGAGGCCAAAGAGGAGGAGGGAGGAGAAGAAAGAAGAAGAAAGAAAGAAGAAAGAAGGAGAAGAGGTCTCGGGTCACACAGCATAACCAGTTAAGCTTCGCCCGTATCTTTAACGACTGTCGGGACAAGAAGAAGAATTGACAATAACACGGTTGCCACCCCCTCCCTTCTTCCTCCTCTTGACCTCTTCGTCTGCCCCTTCTTCGGGTATTTTCGACCATTGAAGCTCAGTCATAAAGTGAGAGCTGTTACGACCTGCAATAACGTCATCGTGTAGAGAGGGAGGCGAGGAATCAATTTACTTCTATTATTTGTCAGAGAAGAGGCGTGCGTGCGTCTCTCTCTCTCTCTCTCTCTCTCTCTCTCTCTCTCTCTCTCTCTCTCTCTCTCTCTTGCTCTCTCACCTCTTCCTTACTCTTCCCCCTCTTCCTTAACTCTTCTTCCATCTCCCTTACTTTTCTTCCCTCTCCCCAACACCTCTCCCCTCTCCCCTCCCCTCTCATCGACATCTATGTTTTATGTCCATCTTGTGATTGTCGGATTTCGTTTATAGAAATAAAATTAAAAATAACAAATTACCCCTCTTCCCCTGTCCTCCTCCTCCTCTCCCCCCTTCCTTTCTCTTTTCTCCTACTTTTCCTCCCTGTACTTTCCTTCCTGACACTCTCCTCTTCCTCACTCCTCCCATCCTCACCTTACTCTTCTCAATCTCCTTTTCCTCCTCTTCCTCCTCCCTTTTATCTCCTCCTGCTCCTCCCTCTTATCTCCTCTTCCCTTCCTCCGTCTTCCTCCCTCTTCTCTCCTCTCCTCTTCCTCCTCATTACCACCACCTTTCCGCCCTTTCGCTCTGGCTCGCTGTCGATTCTGATTTCATCTACACAAAAGGCAGAAAGCAGAGCGGAATTTCTGGCAGTAGGATTTCCATATGTAAAAGGAAAGTCATCAGGACGAAGCGGCGTTGAGTTACCAGAAATGTGTAGCGGCGCTTTTTGTCGCTTTCTGAACGTGTGTCTGTTTTAGGATGGTGATGATGGTGAAGGCTGGTGATGGTGTTTTAGGACGATGGTGGGGGGTGTAGGATAGTGTTGATGGTGTAGGATGATGTTGAAGGATGGTGAAGGATGGTGGTGGTGGTGTAGGATGATGGTGAAGGCTGGTGATGGTGTTTTAGGACGATGGTGGGGGGTGTAGGATGGTGATGGTGGTGTAGGATGATGATAGCGATGGTGAAGGATGGTGTGGTGGTGTAGGAGGCTGGTGATGGTGTTTTAGGACGATGGTGGGGGGTGTAGGATAGTGTTGATGGTAGGATGATGTTGGGAAGGATGGTGAAGATGGGTGGTGGTGGTGCAGAGCTGGTGATGTTTTAGGACGATGGTGGGGGTAGGATAGTGTTGATGGTGTAGGATGATGTTGGCGATGGTGAAGGATGGTGTGGTGGTGTAGGAGGCTGGTGATGGTGTTTTAGGACGATGGTGGGGGGTGTAGGGATAGTGTTGATGGTGTAGGATGATGTTGAAGGATGGTGAAGGATGGTGGTGGTGTAGGAGGCTGGTGATGGTGTTTGAGACGATGGTGGGGGGGTGTAGGATAGTGTTGAAGGTGTAGGGATGATGGTGAAGGATGGTGAAGGAAGGTGGTGGTGGTGTAGGATGATGATAGTGATGGTAGATGGTGGTGGTGTAAGATGGTGTGTAAAGATGGTGAATATGGTGGTGGTAAGATGGTGGTGTAGGGTGATGGTGAAGGATGGTGATGGTGTAGGATGATGATGATGATGGTGTAGGATGATGATGGTGATGGTGTAGGATGCAGATGATGGTAAGATGATGGTGAAGGATGGT